AACTTGTCCAAGCAAGTCCATGTCATGCACCATTGCAAAGCTTTCTTTTGGACTAAAAAAACAGTTCAAGCAAGATTTCAAAATATTACAATATTGCCGATTCAAAAATGCAACGGAAAATGTGCAGAAAACGAAGAATTACCATAAGTTCACAAGAAAATCTCTGATTTTCAAAATGCCAACTTTCCCGTAATCACAGCCACGATTCATGTAAATATAAAAGGTCTGCGCATGCTTCATGACATTTGGCAATTACTGCGACCCAGTAAAACAAGACCTTGGAGTGCAATCTGTACGCAGCAACGCTTGAGTGTAAATGACGCGACGTCGAAGTGGAGTATGGGATTAAGCTTGACTAAAATAAAAGAAGTTCAGGAGGATTAAGGGGGATTATTTTTGTTGTTTGATGTCGAATACTCGTAATGTTATATGTGTAAATATTGATTTTGTGAGTTTCCGTATTATATTTGAGTACGTACAGTAATTAAACTAACCTGTTTGTTTAATACTCGACACTATCTGTATTATAGAATTTTTTTTAGACATCGTAGTTCCTCTTTCATATACATTTTTTTGAACTGTATATGATCTGTACAAAAGGTAACGGCGAGCCAGTATTACTAACAGACACGTCTCCAGAGGGTTAGTATCAAGTAGTATCTTCCACGACATGGGGAAGTTCTCACTGTTAAAGCAATGCGTCTGGATTTGGATTATTTTATTATTACATGCCGAAAAAACAAGTAAGTGGCGATTACACTGCATCGTCGCATCCTTAGGAATTAGCTGGTACTTCAACCCATCCCAGGTGTTCGCGTACGGTTTAGTAGCATGGACTAAAGTTTTTGACCATTTGGAAAATGTACAATTAAATTTATAACTATTCATGATTTCAGTCTGGATGTGCCGTTTTCGACCGACATGGCAATCAACGCGAGAATATACAAAGACATTATTTTCTAGAAAAAAAAAACTGACGTTATACTTCAATCTGCACTTTCTGAATTTACTAACATTTATTCCTTCCTAGTTATTCTACTGTGTAATTTTTGGTTAAAAGGACTGAAGATTTGTATATTATGAACAAGTTTCAGTGTACCTTAGCCTGTACTAACCGATGTTTCTTCCCGTGTGTGAACGCAATAGTGTCTGTACCGAGACTAGGTTCAATCTTAGCTGGTACTGAACAGATCCTTCAATGCCCATAAATGCTACGTTGTTTTGGTGAAGTGTAACAGTCAATGTGTGTTGTCTAGATTATTGGGTATAGCATTCACCATCTTATCAATACAGGGACATTTCTCTCGTTCATTCTTATAACCATGGAAGGTACTAACTCCGTATAACGTATAACTATATACGCAATACAATACAATCAGTTCAATGTCTTGCCTAGGCAGAGCTAGAAGCCGACGTTTCCAACACAACCGTCATCGACACTTTATTCCAACTATTCGGCAAAAGCATATAACGTTATAATAGAAAATATAAGCGTTTTCTTAACCGCTTCCCAATTTGTCCTTCGATAATACATATCATAGTGAAACCTATTACCCAGTCAACAACATATACAGTCACATCACATTACAGAAGTAAACTTTATATTCTAACTTCCTTGTAAGATTCATATCTCTCACTGATGCGTGTCGCTTACTGCCCCCGATTTGATAATTATTACTCATTCGCCCAACGTTATGATTACCAACGTTACAGTGGGCGCAGGATATTTACATACACCTAACTCCCGCTCCCGGTAGACAATTTCCAAGGAACTTTGCGACATCCCCAGATACTTTTCTAAATAATTCGGTGACCATTGTACTGACGCAATAAAGTTACATACATTATCCGGCGTACCTCCGACCCTATCCTTATTCTAGGCTCACTAAACGCTTATAAACAACTTAATCTCATCCCCGAAAGGATTATTCACACTTCGTGTGTGGTCTAGGTAACCGATAACTAGCCGTTACAAATACTTAACTATCACTAAACACCTAAACTCTGCAGTAAGACCATAGGGGCAACAATCAGTGACAAGAACGATATAAAATTAATAAAAAATACAAGCATTTAATTAAGAATAAAAAAAATAATTTAAAGCTAATTTATGTAATAAATTCATTATGATTAAGGAATCTAAAAGTGTTTCTGGAAGTTACTTGAGGAACTTGGTGAAAAACACAAAAGTATGACAACATCAGTCTAGAGTCATGGATAAATCATTTTAAATGTTAACTTTGAAGGTAACAGCTGTTCACGGACTGTTCTAAATGATATTGATAGAAGGGAAGGTTAAGATGATTACAAAGACATGATTAATTAAGATTTCACAAATAAGGAAGTATTGCAGCATTGCACATTTTTAAAGTCAGGCAAAGCTTCAGGCACTGATATGATTTCAAATGAAATGTTGAAACATGGGGTTCTCTTTATTATTAATGCTCTCACTAAAATGTTCACTCAAGTTTTAATTCAGACATTTTACCATCACATTGAAATAGTAGCCTCATTATTCCTATTTTTTAGTCGGGTAACCCAGAGGATGCTAATAACTATAGAGGCATTGCCATTTCTAGTTGTGTCTCTAAATTATATACTATGATGATAAATACTAGATTAACTAAGTACTTACAAAAAATAATCTACAACCCAAGGTGGGTTACAGAGTGGATTGATGTAGTCCCAAACTACTGTAACAATGTGCATTTAAAAGTAAATCCTAATAAAAGCAAAATCATTATTTTAGTGGACTAGATAAAAACTTAGAAAAAAATCAGTTTTATTTGGATGCCACTAAATTATAGTGTGTTAATTATCATAATTACCTTTGCATTGTTTCATAATCAAAGTTTCATAATGCTCCGCCTAGGCTACGAGACAAAGCGCAGGACGCACTGTTTAAGATGTACAAAATGACTTGGATCGGTGATAAATGTTATTTTGTTATTCTGGCTAAAAACTATTCAACTCTATCATCAAACCCACAGCTTTATATGTAGCTGATGTATGGGAAGGGGTTATGCTGACCATCTTCAAGGGGTCTGGTAAAAATAAACGTACAGTCGACAATTTTCTCAGATAGGAGAACTTCATTAGAACTTCATATTAAAGCATCTAATTAACCACGTAGAAGTGAATTAGGTCAATATCCACTTATATTGTGTTTCAGTTATGAAATATTATCAAAGACTAGTATGTAAAAAAAAAACATTTTATCATTGATGCAGCCTATGGAGAATCCAAACCTTTGTGCATGACCCGTGGCTTAACTTTATCTAAAATTACTAGTGATAACAGATCTGACTAATTCAGACCCACACCAGAATATTTCTTGTGATATTTTTAAAGATAAGCTCAAATGTTTGTACCGTTTGAAGTGGAAAAACAATTTGTTGAATAATTCTAAATTTAGAACTTCTGCACATTATCTTCCCATTGAATCCGGTAGACATACAGGTATCTTGAAGGAAAACATGAATGCAATGCAGTAGGGAATGAGAAACATTATATTTTATATTGTAATAATCAAATAACATAGATCTCGATTTCTTGCAGCCCTGTACATCTAAGATTTTAGCATGGATGAATTATTGCTTATGATTGTTTCGAGTAATGATTTTTTTATTCTTAGCATTTTTTTTTCTGAATTCGGCGATTATTTCGTCCGCGGAAACTGTTATTGAAAGTCATCGAGTCGATAATAATATCCAAAGGTACCCCATATATAAAACTAAATGTAGCTTGGTGACAGCAATTAATAATGTTTTTATAATAAAATATGAATTGGATTAACAAAACTGACAGGTCACACCCATTCCATGAGAGCTGACCTGTGAGAAAAACTACCCCTTATTTTTTTTAAATGAATAAAATAAATGATTGAAGGAGAACCGCTAAAACATGTGGACAATGGGCGTCGAAATATTGTCAATGAAAGCGTATTCGTTGAATTTAGAAGGGTCGCGAGGATCTTTTAATAAAAGAAACTGTAATGCTTTCATATAATTCAGTGTATTGTTTTGGTATTATAAGTATGAGTTCTAATCTAATTTAATCTTCTTAGTGGCAGCGGTGACCATTGTGCAGCCGAAAGTGGAGGGTCACAGAAAGTTGAACTGTCGGCAATAGTGGTTGCACATTTTGCATTTTTGTCATTTTTTTGTCACAGATCAGGGTTTGAACTATTGTCAGTTCTACTTTGATATCATTCAATTCTGTTTCTTCCATTTTGATTGCTAGCTCGAGCGGTGATCGGTAAACACAATGTTTGCGTTCATCACTTTATTCCTGTTATTTTTTCTCTGCGTCATCCAATTTGTCATCGCATTCAAACCTCAACCTTTTCAGTACGCTTGTTTGCTCTCTATCAACATGGAAACTGGCGTCGGGGGCTGGTGAACACCCTTCAACGATAAAAACCGTTATCCGCCTGTATTCGCCACCGGCAACTGTCTTTGCACAGCGAGACAATTTGTCCAGTTCATGGTTGGAGAGTATCAAGTGGTCCCTTCGTCATTTTGGTACTGAATCTGAAACTTTAAACACTGTAACGAAGGAACTTGCTCCTTGATATATTCGATGAACTAACCATAGCTGAACGTTTCCCTGATGTAAATATGTCTTGATTTATTCCAATAATTTACTTGGACTTGAGAAGACATGATCAAAATTGAACGTGCGTTCTGAACGCCTCGACGGGAATCTGATTCGGTTGATTATTTTAATTTAAAATACAGGAGGAACACACACAATCGCATCACACACATTCTATTGTATGGTGATGAAGCGTAAACTATGTTATGCTACAACTGTATATAATGCTTCAATAATTCCTATTTTAGTGCGATGTGTGTAGATTTGAGTACGTGTGCGAGTTGTTAACTGAGACTGAACTAAATTTAACAATCCCTTCACTTGACAATGTACTCGCCCGCCACGTTTGGATTGCGTCCATTGTGATTATCGAGGAAACAGTCATAATATTGTTACTTTACACTCACGTCTTTGTTAACTACGCCAACTTAAGTTTACGTAACCTATTATTTAATATATTACTTTACCAGGGAACATTGCTATGGATTCAATCCCATCGTTTCTCATGTGAAAATATATCAAATATATATATTCTAACGATGATACCGTGCAAAGCTAGGAACTGAGGAACCGAAGCACGCCTTTCACCGACTATATTCCTACTCGGCAAAAGCACAGAGCGTTATTCTTTCTAGAATCTCCGCCCTCTAAATGCTAATGACTCATCATATCCGAACATTAGGCCAATCATATACGCTTCCGTTAACGTTATTTTTAGGATATCATGCCATTTCTAAGGTTTGTATCTATAAACAGTTGCAGAAAAATGGTTAGTTAGGTTTGCACAGAGTCAATTACTCAATTTAATTTGCCGTTCAAATAAAATCGGCTTATAATAGTATTTCAAACAATGTCGCAAACTCACGCTATGAATCATAACAATAATGTTAGACAACCCTTACGATACGATGGATAATTGCGGGTTTTGTCAGAGAAATAAGAATTATAGGAGTAGTCTGGTTTTTCATTCACCTTACTGTCTCTGTCATATTTAAGTCATTAATGATAAATTGCCACTATGACAGTGATGCGGGTACGTTGTGTAATCAAGACCAAAACAACACGACCCTTTTTAGGTAACACAAAACGACTAAAAAAAGGAATACTGTAACATAACTTGTTAACATTATTATATGAAGTCTTTGTAATTTAGTTTATTTGTTGCAATTGATGTGAGTGGATTATGTTAATACAATCAAACTGTATGAGTAATCACAGTCACACAGGGGTCACATGTTGCAATATTATGATTACGAATTTATAAACCACATATATCAACATAGCGAAGTACCTCAGAATCGTTAATTCTGTTGAAAAAACGGTTGATATATCAAGCCATGTCAATGTTTGAAGGGGATATATTTTTCACCAAATTGAACCCTTTCTCGTCTTGCAAATATTATGGGGCAAAGGTCTTATAATATACCGGCAGCACACTCAAAACAGTACCCCCCGAGGAATCCGTATACTCTGAGATATATATAGCTTGTATGATATGTGGTTGTGCAAGTCTATATCTTAGGACAGGTAGTTTTATGACACTATTAGTTATTAAGAAAATGGCGAATAACTATTAACATATTCTACCCGTTGTTCCTTACATACACAGATACCGAAGAATGTGACATCGTTCCTGAAAACGATCGAATTGATTGTAATGCTGCCGGAGGAGGAGACGATACATGTGAGAATGTAGCCTGTTGTTATGAGGAAGTTGATGATATACCATGGTGTTCTTTCCCAGGTATGTCGGCTAATTTAATAGTTAATAGAATTTATATGATGACAGGACACAGGTTATTATTATTATTATTATTATTATTTCAGTTATGAAACATTTTTGTGGCATGGTGATATTCAATAATAAGTTTGCAGCATTGCACATTTAAACTTGTCGTCCTTCACAATGTGTATTCTGTGATTAGTTGATCTATTACTTGGGTTAAACATTAACACTTATTAAGACTTAATTAGCTAATGTATGTAACCCAGATTACATCAAAGAGAATGACAAGTTGAATATCCCCCTTGTATACCCTTTATGGTTTACCTAAACATATTTTGCTTGTTACAATGTAAATACTGTAAACACCACTCTGCTAAATATATGTATGCACATATAAAAATACAATGATCCCGGTGTGGACTATATATCCCAGATTACACAAGGGAGAATGGTGTGTTATGCTGTATCTTAGACACGATTTTCAGTGCGGTTCTACTTTGGTTGTACTGTAAATATTGTTTATCAATATTTATATTCAGTCGCCACCCTTCCTTGCTACTACACGGAATATGGCAACTATTGGGACACTCTGGGCTGAACTGAAACGTTTGGTACAACATTAACATAATTTCCATTGCCCCGGTTTGAATTACAGTTAGCGAAGCGACGCCGGTACAACGTAATTACTGTTGTTGTGTATTATTTGATTATCCAGCTTCCTGTTCTATCAAAGAGAGCGATAGACTGTCATGTGGATCTGAAATTGGCAAATTTGATGACTGCAGCCAAAGAGGTTGTTGCTGGTTTAATGGTAAAGAATCGGATGAGAATGAATGTTTTTTGACAGGTTGGAATACGTTTATTTATTCATTGCGGTTTAACCTTTCGTAAGGTAGATCACTTATTTATTTTATTTCTAGTGGTTGTTCATTCTGTAAATCAATGTATTTCAAAATTTTAAATCGTATCAGATGTTTTTAAAATAAACAAAAAACATAACACTGATAGTCAACAATAAGACTTTCAATGTTTAAAACATTATACATGTTTATAAGATTTTTGCCACTTTATAAATAATTTAATTGTATACAATTTGTCTAATTCGGGAAAGTATATATAACATTTCTCAGTTGCTTTTGCATGAACTGTTTTTGGATTTGTTATATGCAATTTGTATGATCATGTCACGTGAAATAAGAGTGAAATCGCGAGACACGCATTTGAAAAGTGGTTTCTGATTGTACTTATTTCTAAAAACACATATTGACAACACGTAGAAAAGTGTTTTCACTGAACAGATTGTCATGCAAAATTCAATGACAAGTCTTCGTATCAACGATTAATCGTTTGTGTGTGTGAAACACAATACCAAAAGATGCGTTTTTCGATCAAGCACTTTTCCATTGATGAATGATTGTAGCACATTGAATAATTATGCGACAGCAAACACAATGTATAATATTTTCATGAATACAAGTTCTAGTCTGAAGGGACTTATTTTTGACATCAAAACTTTCAGTAGGGTCTAAAAAGAAAAATAATAAAATCTTTTTTTGCCTATACTACACAATCATATGATAACTTACTTATTGCATTTGAGTTTACCAAGCAGTAATAAGGTAATTCGTGTATAACCTTTCAAAAGTAAATGAGCTTAGTAAGTGTTTGTTAACAATCCTAAACATTGTATTTATTTGGACAAAGTATGTCTACAAACGATGAAGAACGTTCGTAAAAACAAGTACACAATTGTTGTAAGACATCTTAGAAAAAAAACAATTTCAATGGCAATTATATCTAACCAGCCAATCAACGAGTTCAGCGCACAATGCGTCAATTAAAAACATTCTAAAATTATTTCATCGGCTTATAGAGAACTCTCATTTCAGTTATAATTTAGACTGTGGACAGTCGGTCGTAACTAATATTAATCTGTTATAATTAATAAATATTGTATATAAACGTAATATGCGTGAATAAATTGCGAACCCATGGACAGGAAGTATGGAGTGCCGTTCCGCACGACCGACTCTCGATTCGCATTTCTAATCAAACGCAGGGCGTCCGAATTTCTAGGAAACGCAATTGCATTAGGTCCGAGGACTTTCGTTAGTTCTAATTGTGAAGTTTATAAAACTTAACGAAAATGAAGGAAATAGTTCAATTTTACTTCACTTGTTGTTTATTAATATTGTTGGTGTCAACATTTTGGCTGCAATGATTCACAAATGTCTTATTAATAACATTTTAATAAAACCATTATATCTGTATAAAACAAAACATGTTTTCTTTAATTATTTATAAAACACCTTTTCAAAAATATTAAACAGTTTTGATTGAAAGTTCCTCTCGAATTACAGTGTATATTATTTGTGTCTGATACTACATTTTATTCATCATAAAATATACTAACTTTACAGGAAATACTAACCATATGTATCTGTACATTATGACTAGCCATGACATATCAAGTTTTCTGTGAACGTATAGTTTCGTAGGAAATATTGAAGTACACGTCATATATATGTATTCATAACACTGGGACTATTTTTCATACGATCATACGATTATATAGAACAAATATAATCGATTGTTGGCGACCGCTCAATAGTTTTTTCATTTGCAAACTAAAGTTACTTCTACATTTTTAAGATAAGTGCAGTATCCAAGTAGGCGACCGCATTGATTGTAGTTTTGATACGATGGAGGACTGTATTGGTCAGAAATGCTGTTATGATGATGGACAAAGTTCTCCATATTGTTACTACACAGTGGGTATGTACAATCTCTTAACCATTTGCCAAATCCATTGCCACTTGTCATGTGGCTCGGGTAGCTTATCAAATCCGCCATTTTCCTCATAGTACTTTGTAGCTGGTCGTATTACAATCACCAGGGCAGTTCTTCCTTCAACTTCCCATAGTACTACACTAAAGACAGTGACTATGTTAAAGAACCACAAAATCATGAACAAATTGTTAGTTCGTAATTACCTAAATGCTTGAATATAGCTTGAATATACCTAAATCGACTGCGAACAAGTCAGAGAGATAACTGGGCAGAATAACATGTATACAAACAACCACGAAATAGTTGCAACAACTTGTTAAGTACGTATGCAAAGCACGATGTATTAACGCTAGAAAAAGTATTTCTGCAAAATTGTTTAAATCATTAAAAAGTCTTCTAAACATCATTTTAATGTATATTATTTATTTCCATTTATTCCTAGGCTGTGAAGACGACACATACTATAAGAATGGTGAATGTGTAAACTGCAATTGTAATATTCCTTGTAATAAAAATACGGGCGAATGTTCAAGTAATTGTACCAATGGTTATATAGGAATAGACTGTCAACAAGGTTAGATGTTTTGCATAGACTGATTATTCATTGTTTATCATTATATTTATGTTTATTAAAATCAGTGACATCTTCACCATTTATGAATTATCTCTTACAAATCTACTGTAATTGAATAATATATGCTTATTCATGATGGTTTAGTAGTGCGATATCACACAATGTTAATAACAGGAGACTACAATAATGCTAGTTGAGACAGTAGCGAGTAGTGAGACACGTTAGATTCACGGGGAGCAAATACAATCTAGCGACTCTATTATCATATTGATACTTTTTCAGATGGCGACCCAATCATTAACAGCATTGAGCAGCATTCCAAGTCAAATGCTGGACAAGCTACAGGCTTTAAATGTACAGTACAGGGCAACATAATAAATGCTGAAGATATCACTTTAACTATACTGAAACAGTCATATACTTACATCAAATCTAATGAAGGGACACATCCTGACTATATTATGACTAACACATTTGATGGCGTCGTTGTGAGGGATAATGATGTAGTAACGTGTCACGTGGATGCACCAGCTGGTAAAACCAAGGGCTCAATTGAAGCTGAGGCATTTAGTAAGTACATATCGTAGTACATGTTATTTTGCATGCATGCATGCATGCATTGAATAAATAAATGGAATATGCATATTATTTGTATTGTGTATTTAATTTGCCACACACTTATTTTAAAATCACAAAATATATAATAACTTTTAGCTCAACCAGTGTTGTCGAACGCCCCTCGGCTGGACGATATCGACATAACCAAGATAACAGTCACATGGGATGCTTGGAACGATAGCGCTGACTCGGGGGAAGGACCGATTACAAAGTATGAAGTGTGGTACACAGG